TGATTCTTAGGAAGCCAAGCAAATACTCTTGCTTCTACCTTCCTTCTATCTTCACTGCTTCCTTCCTTAATTCCTTCTTTCTTCCTTTTCTTCCTTAATTCCTTTCTTCCTCCATCCCTCTTTTCTCTCCATTTATTAAAAAAATTATTTTAAAAGATTGTCAAATTCGACTTGTTATTCAAATTTCATCAAGATAAAACAGTATACATTTTTCAATGGAGCTCTAGGGCTACATTTGGTCTTTCTCTTTCTAATAATCTTGAATAGTAGATTTGGATAGTTTACTGAAAGCCATCTGATGTTTTCTAACAAAGTACTTTTGCCTTTCTGCTTTTCTCAAACAAAGTTAATGTTGCTGTTAAAAGAAAGAAACAAAGAAAGAAGAAGGGAGTTGGATGGGAAACACAAGTAGAAAGGAGAATAGGATGAGAACATCGCTACACTCCAATTCTGCATTGCCAATATGTAAATTTGTTCATTTTTAGCTAAAATAAGTTTAAAAATAATTATAAATAATAAGCTTGCTGAAGATTAATAGCCCCGGGCCTAAAGCCTTGAATGTATTGTAGTAAGAAACCAGTATCTAAAGTAAAAAATTGTATAGATTAATCAATACAGAAGTACTGAGGTGATTTATCATCATGGAGAAAGTATATAAAGTAGTCCTTTATTTAGAAGACAACTGATGTATATGCATTTATTATGCCATGAATTGTTTCAAATAAATGTTTAGATTAAGGAACAGCAGATACAATGGAGGAACCTAAATTATAAGCAGATATAAAAGTTGAGAAAATAACTGTGAAGCTAATTGCATAAATTTCATCAGAAATAAAAGGTTAGGTGATGAATATGAATTTGAGTAGCACTCAGTTCTGGTCCCACGACAGTATTCTTGTCCTATTCAAACTCTAAATGCTGGAGTTCTCTCTTTATTCAAAGTGAAGGCTACTTGTCATCTGAAATTTCTTCAAGTTTGAATTTAATGTATCTGTCTAAATTGCTCAACTTTTAAAGAAATTTATTTGAATAGCCTGGAAAAACTAGCCATTTCCCTCGAAACCTCCTCATTCTCTTCTTTTTCCTGGTGGCCTTTCATTTGAGGCTGTAATACAGTTGCACTAAGTTATATCAATTGGGGCATTCTTTTCCACATGTTTGGAGCTAGTTATAATGGAGGATAAAGTGTACTTTTGCATGCATGAATATATAACAAAGATCAAACAAGGCACAAATATGTGCTTATGATTTATTAGATAAAATCTTAGTTTACAGTACACCAAAAATGCTTCTACTATTTTTTGAACAGAGCAAATTATTGAAGTCATTTTACTAAAAATTGTACACAGAATCATTTCAGATAGAAAGTACAGTGAACCTTAGATGAATTGGTTGGTGATCAATAAGCATCTGGAATTATTTTGCTCTATATTGTATTAAACTATATTAAATATGGACCCAGTACAGTAGGCTGCTTTTAAGGATAAAAACAAATGCAAATAGCATAGAGATCTGTTAAATTCCATGTCTATTGGCTGTCTTTTGCTTCTTAATCAACAGCTGCAAATTTTCTCTCCCTCTCTCTCTTTCTTTCAAGTATATGTTAATTCCTCAAAATTTGGTTATGATAATTTAGATTATTTTTCTTTATTATTTTAATTTGATTCTCAATGTGACAATAGACAAATAAATACACCAAACAAAAATAACATAAATAAAGGAACATAATCACTTACAGTCTCTCTGCCAGGAAATAACCATTCACAATTTAAATTGCCTGCAATCCTCTATCTATTGGAAAACTTTCTATCAATATATTAAAAGGAATCATATACTCAATCAACTAACCACCTTGATTTACACAAGTCTGTTATATCAACCATACCCCAAGATTTCTATTAATTAAATAGGATAGAAATTCTACATACAAACAGTGTAAGAATAAACTATATGATGAATACTCTCATGATATTAAGTCCTTCAAAATGTTCAAAGAAAATGTATACGTACTATGATAGAACTATTCATAAACGTCACACTTTTTATGTCAAAATAACCTCATCTTTTCAGTCAATATTTTGACAAGTTTTTCGGTGTCCCCTCATATGAATTTCATGTGTGTTTTCAGTAAATACTGAATCTGGGGATGTATTAGATACACAAGGACACATTACACTTTTGTAGCTTATAGGAAACTTAAATTTATTTCCTTTTGTTTTTTTCTTAAATTGAGTCACCATATTATTAGATCTATTAGAGTTTATAAAAATGCATTACATCTCATCTCAGGCTCCATTTAGGGAAAATGGCAAGACCTCTCCTCAAGCTGTAATTGACAAAGCTAAGGCAATGTCATGTTCAAAATTAGGGCTTAATCACGCTGGGAGGAAGGGCTGCCTTGAACCTGTTAGAACCTTGTTATCAGGTAATCTCCAGATTCAGGGGCTGTACTGTGCCATGCTGGCAATGTTGACCACTGAACTCAGTTTTGGACTTTTGTGAACAAATGTTTGTTCAGTAGGATTTGACTAGTTTCCTTTGGGAGATCAAGTCAATAAAATCCACAGGAAATGCTCAACAGTAGATTTTGCTTTTGCATAACCAGACCAAGCTCCAAAACTGTTTTTCGTTCATGTTTTCTTTGCTTATTTTTATTTCCTATGATATGGTTTTGTAGGCTTAGGGATTCCCTTCTCCATTTGTCCCTCCCATTCTCCTCCTCCGTCATTTTCCCCATACTGTTACCATAATGTAGTCCTTCAGCAACAATCACAAGTCCAATATTCTGGTATTTAAATGAAAGAAAGAAGAGAGAATCTTTCATCTGGTGGGCTACTTCTCAGGTGGCAGAGCCAGGTCCTGGCTGAAGTCAGGAGTCAGGAACTTCATCCACGTTTCTAACATAGGTGGTAAGGACCCAGGTTCTTGTGTCATCTACTCCTTTCCCAGGCACAGCATCAAGGAGCTAGACCAGAATTCTATCAGCTAGGACTTTAATCAGTGCTCATATTGAACTCAAGGTCACAGCTGGGCACATAACCTGCCATAAAGTAACATGGGCCTCTATGTTTAACTTAGAAGGAGCACCCTAACTTTTATTTTTTAATTTTTTTACATGTAAGTTAAAGTGATTGGGAAAACTTTCTTTCCCACATAATCTAAAGTGTGTAATACTCTGAAAACCCATGTCAGCATCTTACTCAGCTGATGGGCTTCGCTAGGTTCTGCTTCAACTTCGGCTGCACCTGTGCTATACTACAGAGACAATTCTTCGTGGTCTTGCTGTTTCTGCACATCTTATGAAGAGCGGCACTGACAGCTTCTTTTTTTATTATTATATTTTTACATTCTTAGAGTAAAGGCGACATTTCTCTACAAGTTCAGTATAATTAAGATCATTTTTTCTGTGCAAAGGGCAGGTTTGTTTGCTTCCATCACAGGCAATCCTCATTTTAAGCCCAGAGTGCTTCAGCTCTAGCAAAACTCCCTGTCACCCAGCCCTCATTCCATATCCCAATAGTAGCTGGGGCACTGACATAACAAAAGGGTATACAGTGCTGCTGCTGCTGCCTCTGCTCTGGGGAATAATCTCTTTGTCAGTCCTCTGCAACTTCTATGAAAAATGAAACTGTTGATGGATCTTCATAGTTGTTGATGTTGTTTCTCCAATTTCTTTCTTTTTTTAAAATGAATGGATTCTTTTGTCTGCCAGATCCTTTCATGCATAGAGCTTTTTTTCTTTTCCTTTGTTTCTCCTGTTTTTGTTTGTTTGTTTGTTTGCTTTGTTTTTTGCCAAGGGCAGTTTGGATACAGCATTCCTCATGGGTCATACAAAATCATCAACTTAAAAATTAGATGGCTTTTACATCCAATGTTGTGGTACAACGAGGTGAGCTACCATCTGCCAAGCCCCCATTCTATCTGAGTGATGGTTTGATTTCTGGCTGCTCCATATCTGATGCAGCTCCCTGCTAATATACCTGGCAAAGCAGCACAAGATGGCTCAATTACTTGGTCCCCAGTGCTAATATGAGCAATTTAGAAACAACCCTGAGTTCCCAACTCCTGATTCTGGCCTGACGCAGTCCCAGCCATTTGAGGAGTGGACCAGTGAATGGAAGAGTTCTTTCTCTCACAGTAATTTGTCTTTCACACAAATACAAATTCTATTTTTACAACATTTATTTATTTTAATTGGAAAGTCAGATATACAGAGAGGAGGAAAGACAGAGAGGAAGATCTTCCGTTTCCTGATTCACTCCACAAGTGGTCGCAATGGCCGGAGCTGAGCTAATCTGATGCCAGGACGCCAGGAGCAAGTTGCGTCTTCTGGGTCTCTATCTACATTCCCTCTTACCATATGATTCTCTGAGATACCACAGGATTCCGCCACTGAAAAACTATCACCGGAAGCCAAACCTGTGAGGCTGCCTGTTTTCATACCTCCAAAACCACAACCAAAATCAGCCTGTTTCTTTATAGCTAGTTCTAGTATTTTCACTGTAGTTATGAAAAACTAATGCAACATTTAAATTAAGTTAGTGAAATCAGGGTAAGATCCATACAGAAAAGAAAATTTGTTTACATAGCTTTATAAATAAGATAGCACCATTCAGAATTTTGGGGACTGAGATGGTATCAGAAACATATTAACATTTAACCTGTGTATCAAACTGAATTGAGAGATTTCTTGGATAACATCATTTGTGAGCATCCAAAGTTACCAACTTGAAATTTAACCTGATTCAGATTTATTAAATTTGGAGTCCTGCGTGCAGTTGCCTCTGTAAGACAGACCGAGACAGACCGAGTGACGTCATAGCCGACTGAGCCTGCCCTGCACTGTGAGATCAACACTCTTAACACACATTCTCAGAGTCAGTAAGTGGCCTTTAACAAAACATCACCTCTTTAGAAACAGCAACACACATTGGAGAGTATTTTTCAAGGTGTTTTATCTTTTCTCAGAAGTTCCCTTGATATGAGGTAATGAGACTTACAGTTTACGACAACTTTCACTTTTTTCACATCTGGGAATGACACATCATTTTCTGCACTGCATTCATATTCCCCAGCCTGGTCCCGGGTGATTCCATAAATGTCCAAATATTGTCCGTTTTCAAATGGTTTTGCTGGAAAAAAAAAACACACATGTTTAATTCTAGCTGCCTGAGGCATCATTCAAGTAAAACAACAATCTCATGACTTCTCACAACATACTGCTGACAAAACAATTCCAAATGAAGCTGGGGAATTATTAAACCTTTTGTTCTCTTATGTTCAGAGGGAAACTCAGAGAAAAAAGCAGCAGCAGAACAAGCGACACTATCACAACCGTTTCACCAGAACAGGATATACATGTGTTCTTTTTAATTGATTGTGGTCTCCTAACCTCCTCACACATCAAATGGAGCTCTGCACATTTCTGTAATTGAGTTCAACAACCTCCTAGCAGTGTAGATGAAATTCACTAATATGGGTTGGTACATATTGACTTTTATACAGTGTGAGCTTGTAACTTGACACTTCACCTAATTAAATGTTACTTTTCTTTTGGGGAATTTTTCTACCCGTGCTTAATATTTTGGGCCAGATGGTTTGATAAAGCTATTTAGATATATGAAACCACTGTCTATTTTCCTCTCTAAAAATAATATTGTTGCTAAGCGTGGTACACTGTACACTCTGTATATAAACTCCTCAATAAATCTCAGAAAAACCACTGATGGCTATAATATTAAGAATAAAGTTGTCAAAGAAACAAACTAAATTTTAAAATTTCAATATAACACAGATAGATTCCATCTGACTAGAGAAAGCTGTAGATTTAAAACACAATACATTATCACAAATAAATCACTCTCCCAAAGTGAATAAAGTTTTTTAAAAAATTCCTTATTTCAACAATGAAATGTCCATTTCTGTTCACACCAATCATTGAACAAAGGAAGCTGATTTTCAGAAGAATGGAAAAAGAATGAGCCCATGCCAATTTCAAGATGGGAGACTCTTCTATCTCTCTGCATCGCCTTGGAAAATCACACTTCAGAGCCCAGTGTGGTAGGCTAGTGGTTAAAGTCCTCTCCTTGCATACACCAGAATCCCATGTGGGTGCAAGTTCTAATCTTAGCAGCCCTGCTTCCCATCAGGCTCCCTATTTGTGCCCTGGGAAAGCAGTTGAGGATGGCCCAAAACCCTGGGAACCTGTGCCCACATGGGAGATCCAGAAGAAACTGCTGGATCCTGGCTTTTGATCTGCTCAGCTCCAGCCTTTGTGGCCACTTAGGGACTGAACCAGTGGATGGAAGATCTTTCTCTCTGTATCTCCTCCTCTCTGTATATCTATCTTTCTTTCCAATAAAAACCATTTTTCTTTAAAAATGAAAAAAAAGCACACTTCAAAACATACCAAAAAAAAAAAAATAAAACCAAACAAACAAAAACACACACTGAGCAATGTAGCCACATTTCCATTAGTGGTATGGTTTCAAAACTCAGTGTAAACTTTGGCTTCAACTTGTTAGAAAACCAGTTCGTCCTGTGAGGACTCCCTTTTCCATGCCTCTTTTGACTGCTGCAGAGTCTCCCTTCAAAGAAGGTAGAAGAAGCTTGAGTGGTTACAATACATATAATTTACACCATTTCCCAATTTACATGGCTCATCTCGAATCACAAATAGAAGCTAAACTTCTGAGATGGAAGCTAGCTGCTGAATGATTTTAGGCTTCCAATATTATCAACAATATCATATTAGTATAAAAACTCTTAGGAGAAACAAAGACCAAGTGAGTATTCAGCACCCTGTTTCCCCCCACTGAATGCATGATACTTTAAATCAGTTGTTACTTTCATGTTTCATGGATTAGTTCTCCCAAAACACGGGCTATATGCTTCCTATTGTTTTTACACATAATCCTGTTTCCACCTTCAACGCGTCCTTGCTCTGTTCTCATTCTAATCTTATTCAACTTGAATTTCAGATTTGAACTTAGAACTGCCTTTGCTAGAAACTAGTTGGAGTAGACAAGTTAAATGGACAATAGACTACACTTATCATAGTTCCTTTCTAAGATGATAGCAAATGGGACTTGGCACAATAGCCTAGTGGCTGAAGTCTTCAGTTGCCATTGTTTGGGATCCCATTTGGGTATGGGCTACAGTTCCTGTACCCACTACTCCATTTCCCCTCCAGCTACCTGTTTGTGGCCTGGGAAAGCACTAAAGATGGCTCTGAGCCTTGGGACCCTGCATTTGTGTAGGAGACCTTGAAGAAGCTCCTGACTCCTGCCCTTGGGATACTCTCAGCTCCAGCCATTATGACCACTGTGGAAAATCTTTATCTTTGTCTCTGTAAATTTGACTTTCCAATAAAAATAAATTAATCTGAAGAAACAGACAATAGCAAAAAAAAAAAAAAACTAAATGCAATCTGGTTTGTGTGGGGAATATGTAAGCATGACCTGTAACGAAACATTAATTTCCTATTCACATGTTGCCTCCCAAGTATAGTATTTTATCAAGATATGGAGAATTCAAGAAATGTCACAAGTGTTTTGTTACATAACGATTATCATCACCATCAAACAGGAACTTAAAAATGGAAAATGGCTGTAGTATGTTTCTGTTTCTCTTTTTCTATCAAAAAGAGAAACAGAATATATGCGGAAAGAGTTCTATCTTGGTGGGTCCATCAGAATGGCTAAATGACTAAAGTCTCACCGTACAGATACTGGGATCCCATATGGATGACACTTCCTGTTCAGGAAGCTCTCCTCCAGCTTGCTGCTTATGACTTCTGAAAGCAATAGAGGAAAGTTCAAAGCCTGGGCATCCTGAATCCATGCGCACAAGCAGCGAAAACTCCTAGTTCCCAGCTTGGGATTGGCTCAGTTGTGACCATTGCAGCCATTTGTGGAGAGAACCAGCAAATGGAAGATCTTTGTCTTTCCTTCTCTCTGTAAATCTTATCTACCTTTCCAATAAAAATAAACAAATCCTAAAAAAATTCTCTGTTGGAGGTGAAATATCTAGATTTTGTTTCATGACTAGGTAAGATATTTGAACTTACCTTGTGCTGCATATAAAATTACTTGTGGCCATAAAAAATGTTTAGAGTGCAAATATAGTTCAGAAAAAAGTATAAAACAGATATTTTCCATTAACTTCTTGAATATTGTTCTTCAGTGGTTTTCATCTCATCCCTTTGCCATTTCTTTTTTTATTTTCCCCAGGTTCTTCACATATCCATATTCCTCAGGTTTTAGTTCTCTTTGGTTTTTTTCACTCTTCATGCACTAAACTTTTTAGGGGAATTTAATAATTCATAATGTATAATTACTATTGATTGTCAAATTCCTGATGGATCCAGTTAGATGATAGATGATTATTTTGATAAATAGATAATAGATATAAGGATTCTGCATCTTAGATGAATGTGTTCTACATTGGATGTCTCACATTAATCTTAACATTCACACAATTAAAACAAACCCTGGTTTTTTGTCATAATTGCTTTTCTTCTTGTGTTAAAAACTCAGTGAGTGCCTAGATCATCATTCCCTTGCTAAAGTCACAAGCTTTAGCATGAACATTGACAAAACCTCTCACCTCATCACACACTAGTCACATTGTCCTGTCCATTTTATATTTTAAATACTTCTCAAACTTGTTCTAGAAGATCCTTGGATTTCAGTTACTGATCTCTGAATGCCTGTGCGTATGTGCTATGCTAATGATGTCAGGCCTCTTTGCAGAGTCATTACAATTATTTCCCAAAAAACTTTTTTAGAAAAAAAGAATCACATTGTACAAGGATGCACTAAGATGGCAATATTGTTAGGACATCAAAGCAATTTAGTATTAGAATATTCCCTATGATTTAATTTGTAAAATACATTCTGGGTCATTTACTCACATTTATGAGTTTAACTACTTCCCACTTGTTATCCACTGGTATATTTCATACCATATCTTGTATGCATAGAATTAAATTATCTGGGCTCAGACTCCAGTTCTGCCATTTATTAGCTTTGTGATTCATTCATAATGAGTTAGACAAATGACAGAACTTGTCTCATATGGTTGTTAGGAGTGAGTTAATGCATGAAAAAGGCTTACTGAACTGTGTAACACATCATGAGATCTTTAAACAATATATTAGCTACACCGATAATACACAAGGTCAGGCATGCCATAAAGGTTTGTTTAGATGAGTATGGTTTTCCTGCTGAGAGGTTGCTATATTTAAGAATTGGTGCTTCATTCTTAGCATGATATTTAATGAGAACAATAAAGAAGAAGATCATTCAAGAGTTATTAATAGCATTGAATGATTTAGTTCTTACTCCAATTCTGTGATCCCAGTAAGCATTATGCCTTGTACATGTACAAGTGAGCCTAAGGTGGATTTCATGTTACAGTCTGTCTATCTGTGGTTCATTTCCCGAGGATAATTTAATCATAGTGATGATACACATATATGCATACATGTCTACAACTATATAATATACATATATGTATGTGTATATATACATTTATATATATGAATATCTATTATATCTATTGAATATATATTCAATGCCAGTCTTCAAATATGCACTTCAGCTTCTGCTTTCTCATGAGAATCATAGGCTGATCTAATGTTCTCGTAGCCTACTTTCTTCTTACACATTTGGCTTCTCTTCTACCTACAACACTTCCATTTAATTCACCAATGTCCTTTCATCCCTCAGATCTCTGAAGAGTATCTCCTTAAAGGAAACTTCTTCTATTTACTCATTGACCAGTCTAATATTTCCACATTACATACTGAGAAAAATCAAAATACTGAAGCAAATTGGAACAAAATACATTCAATAATTATATGTAGTACATATATATGTATATATGTGTGTTCGTTCTTCTAATTATTCATTAATAGAGTATTAAAGAATTAAACTGTCATAAGTGCTGTGATACAAGGCTTTATCTTTATTGCATATCTAATATCAGTTCTATATCTGCTACTAATATGATTAAAAATACAAGAAAATTCAGAAAAAAAGCAGTTTATTTTTTAAAGTGGGTTACTTATCTTATTCATCAAATAATTAATAATGTTATCATAAATGAAATGATCTCTTTATTCTGTCTT